GTTCCATAACACTTGATGAATTAAATGAAAGTCTTAATAACCTCAAAAATACCTCATCTGGACCTGATGACATACTACCAATTTTCATCGAAAAACTACCTATTAGCGCGAAGGTTACTTTAGTACAAAATTTATTCGACCCATAAATTTCCATCTCTCTGGCGCGAAGCAATTATAATACCATTTTTAAAAGACAATAAACCAAAAAACTTATCTTCTTCATATCGACCAATATCTCTTACCTGTAGCATCTGCAAAATAATGGAAAAGATTCTAAGTAAAAGATTAAAATGGTACTTAGAAAAAAAAATCTCCTTACATCCATCCAAAGTGGGTACCGATCAGAACGGTCTACAATAGATAATATTATAGCAGTAGAATCTGAAATACACAAAGCTTTTATACATAAACAAAAATTAATAACAATTTTCTTTGACATCACAAAAGCATTTGACACCACGTGGACATATCACATCTTAAAAACAATGAAAAGTTGGAAAATAGATGGCAAATTCTTAGCCTTCACCAAAAACTTTCTGGAGAACAGAAATATAAAAGTTAAAACAAACGGTGTCATGTCAACTAAGAAATCACTGGAAAATGGTATCAAGGATCTGTATTAAGCCCACTGCTGTTTTTAATAGCAATCAACAACGTATCTAACCATTTTATGCTTCCATTAAAAGCAAACCTTTACGCCGATGATCTTGTAATATGTATGAGAAGTAAAAACCTAAAATCAGCTGCATCAGTATTACAAAATACACTAAATAAATTAGAAGGGTGGTCTTTAGATATAGGCTTGAGATTTTCAACCGAAAAACCTAAAGTAATAATATTTGATAAAAGGAAAACACAACACCACTTAAATTAAAAACTAAACGGAAATGCTCTTATAACAATCAACGAAATCAAATTTTTGGGAATGACATTCGACTCTCAACTCAAATGGACATCGCAGATAAATGAACTAATTAAATCATGCCAACAGAGAATAAATCTTCTAAAAGTTCTTTCCAATCACAAATGGGGCGCAGACACAACTATTCTTCTACGATTATATCAAGCTCTAATTAGAAGCAAACTAGATTACGGATGTATATGCTACGAAACTGCTACTAAAAGTTAATTGAACAAACTGGACATTATCCATACCACAGCATTACGTATAGTTTTCGAAGCTTTCAGAACCACGCTAATTAGCAGCCTTCAAGTCGTAGCTGGAGAACCGCCATTAGCTCTCAGAAGACAATATTTTTCGATGTGTTGTGCTACTAAATATCTCAGTGCAAATGAAAACCCGTTAATAACAAGCCTAATAAGGAGCAACCCTCCAAATCTGTACTCAAATTATTGCCCTAGAAACTTTCCTTTCAATGAACGAATAAATCGATTTGAATTCGATATACATTAATTGGGAGCCACTTCTACAAATAGATACCAGTATCCTCCCTGGAAAGTTCAAATACCAAAACTAGATTTTACCTTACTTAATTATTCCAAACAATCACACAATCCTTCTGAAATAAAACAAAAATTCCAGTCTACCATCTCCAGATACCCTGATTTCAAACTAATTTTTACTGATGCCTCTAAAAGAAGTAATGGTGTAGCTGCTACAGCTATTTTTGAAGACAACACCTCTGTCACCCGTCTAGCCAAGGAGTGTAGCATATACACTGGAGAACTGCAAGCAATCTTCAACGCACTGAACCAATGTACCAGCAATGATATAAATTTTCTTATTATATCCGATTCTTTGAGTGCTTTAAATGGTGCCAAGCAGATGTATCCTACTCATGTAAATTTAGCACTAGTAAAAGACATGCTATACATTGCCCAAACACGTGGTAAAAAGATAACATTTTTATAGGTACCATCCCATGTTGGAATAAAGGGTAATGAAGCAGCTGATAAAGCAGCAACAGAAACTATCAATAACATGACAATTCCTATTATGTAAAACATACCAATCTCAGACCAAAAAACATTAATAAAAACTTACATTAACAAAACCTGACAAGTAAAATGGAACCAAACAGAAGCAAAATGAAAAATTATCAAACCAGATGTTACTTCTGTTTTACTATTGCTCCAAGTTCAAAGACATAACCAAGTAATTATTACTAGACTGCGGCTAGGCCATACAAAATTTACACATAGATACATCATCTCCAAGGACCCTCAGCCGATTTGCCACACCTGTCAAATACCATTTGCAGTGCAACATATAATGATAGACTGTCCAGTGTACTCAACAGCAAGATCGACAGCAAAAATAAAACACAATTTAAAAGAAACTCTAAAAGTAGACATCAGTAATATAATAAATTTTATCAAAAATTGTAAACTGTATAACAAACTGTAACATAACATAAAATGTTTGTATTTTTCAAAACTGTTATGTAAATTTTAATAACATACTAATGTAACTTTTTTAAAATAAAGATATACTACCCCGCTAATAACCCTAGGGCTTGATGCGGTAAAAAAAAATACTGTTTAAAGCTAAGTATTTATGTATTACTTATAGTACAGTTGATAACCCAAAGTGGTTGATGATATTATCATTAAAATAATAATTTGTACCCCTTCTCATTTTTACTATTAAGCCGGGTCCAAACTATGTAACAAAACATGTTAAATAACAAAGTTGTACAACTAATTTGTTTTACAACTTTGTTTTGTAACTTGTTATAATATAACATAGCATCCAGACTATATAACTAAAAACAGGACAACAAAATGCGCATAACTTTTAGCTGGATGTCAGGTAGGTTGGGCAGTATATAAAATAGCGTCATACGTAGATTTTTTTTCAACTTCGCTTGTGTCTGCTTTCACTTCTCCGGCTATTTCAGTCCATGCATCGTATTTTTATTTCGGTTTTAACATCCATGAATGTAGGATCCCATAATACTCGTTGTTCCCGAAATAGCTCAATTAAATGAGTAGTCAGTTCTTTCGACCATTCCATCGCGCAAATAAGAAATAACCCCACGTGAACAAAGAAAAATTGAGCAAAATCACTCAAGAATCAGAATGAACAGGGCGGTATGACTCCGACGGTTTCTGCTCGCGTATAAAAAAAAATACTATGCCAAAGATATGTTTCAATAACATGTTTTAAGTGTAGATCAGTCACGATGCGGTTTTACAACAATATTTTATAACTTTCTTTGATGTTTACCGACAACTGTTGGATAACATAAAACTTGCTATATAACCAGAAAAATGTTATACAACACTGTGTTTTAAAACTTTTTTATTTAAAATTCTGTAACAAGTTACAAAACTTTGTTATTTAACATGTTTTGTTACATAGTCTGGACCCGGCTTTACTGTTGCTCCTCCACTACTATATTTCTAGGGTGAATGCCTTTCAGTTGATTTGACAATTCGATAAATGTTTGTTTTGTAAAGTGTGCCTCTGATATTAAACATATATCGCTTTATTGGTTGTTTAAGGTAAACAGTATCTTCTGCTTATGTTGCAAGAGGCCATTTGCGTTTCAATGTAATAATCTTAACTTTTTCGCCATTTTATATTCTATTAGTTTCTATCTATGTTACTTTTTTTATGTTTCGACTCGTTATAGATTGTTTGGACATATGTTTGGATTTGATTAACTTCTCTTGGTTGGTAATGTATAGGATTCTCCATGTCTGCTGCCTTGTTTTATGATGTGGCTGTAGGCTTCTATCTTTTCCGTAACTTTTGAAGTGCTATAGCAGTGGTGTAACCTTTGTAATTAGCTGGATGGGCACCGCTATAGTGTATAAATATAGGTTCTTTATTCTGTGACTTTTTAAAAATATTTTGTTAACTATTTCCCTACATATTTTACGTATCTTGACTGTTCTAGAATTATTTTCGTAATCGTGACATTGTTGAATTGTGGAATCAATTTCGATGTTGTGAAAGCTATAGTCACTTTAAAAATAGTTGTTCCGTAGTTTTATGTAGTTATTTTTTATATTTTGATTCTTATACATATATGGACAATTTTTACAATTTAGTGAAGCTTGCGGATATGCTATCTGAAGAGTAAACTTATGTCGGTGGTACCCTAAGAAGGGATAATCCGAAAGATGTAGTAGCACAGAAATTGAAAAAAGGTGAACTTACTTGGAAGGGAAATGTACAGTGGTATTTTGTAAGTAACAAGAGAACCGTGGGATTACTCTATAACCTAGTATAATTCGGGACTGCAACAGCAGCATATCCGGCGTGGATCGATAAGATCAAATTCTATCATATTATACAGCCTTACGAAAAACAATAAGATACTTTACCTCCCATCAATTTAGATAGTGTTTGAAGAGTGTTAGCTTAAATAAAATATACTAAAAATAGACAAACATATTAAACTGGAAACATTTCAATATTTAGTTAATATCTAGCTCTACCACCAATAGAGAAAAAAGAAAGGCCAACAAAAACATGCAGAGTTTGGATTGTACAAGATGAAGAAAACGAGAAAGTCAATATTAATGCGTAGCATTTGCATATGGAAGAGTGTTTTAAGAAATTTCACAAAATATAAAAAATGTATTTTCGATATATTTTTTTCAATTATAAAATTGTATCTTTTATATATAGCGTTTTCCCCAACGTTTGTGCACATTTTCGTTCCTGTCTTATAAGCCAGTCACCATGTATTTGTATTTAAAATTTACAAGTACATATCTAAATATTAGAAATAGGTACGAATTATCTCGAAGCTTGGTACCTCGGTATAGATTGTTAACTACGAGACAACTCGTATTTGGCACTAAATAGGTTAATAATAAACAAATAGAACACATTAAAAAAATGTATTAAACGCATATTGAATTTTATTTAGTCAAATATCCTATCGGTTGCAAAGTTGTAAATTCTTCTATGACAAACAATGACCATTTAATGGCCCCAACCATTTGGTACTTTCCCGGATACTGAACAAAAGCATATCCGGTATATACTATTATCAAGGCCTTTCATTACACATATTCATACCAATACACAGCGAACTTTCAGCGGTAGTTAATGTATATACATGAGGGTGATTATATTGGAATAAACCGTAAGTCATTTTAAATATTTACACCTAATTATACTTTTGGCAAAAAATTTTTTAATTTTTTGGTCCCTTGTCTATATTTTTTTTATTTGCTGTATATATATATATATATATATATATATATATATATATATATATATATATATATATATATATACAAGAAATACTAGATATTAGTGACTGTCGATATAAACTGTGTTGTTTGTGTATATAGAAAAAAGCTGAAAAAATCTTATACCGATTATACAGATTTAAAGTTTCTAAAAGTTACATGAGGGGTAGCTCATCAAAAATTTGTGAAGACGTAGAGCTGATTTTTTATTTCTTTTACATTATAGAGAAAAATGGTTCAAATAAAAGTTGTAGATCATAAAAAAGTGCTTTATATTCAGAGGTTCCAAATAAAGATAAATAAATAAACCCTTATTTTTGTAGTAATTTATAAAAGTTATTCCATGTTTTTGCCCTTGCCCAAAAACAGTGACTTTACAGGTATTTTGTAAATTGTAATCGATTCTTTGAGGCTTCAGTTTTAGGATATATTAAAAAAACTTCAATATTTTGGTAAATTTGTTATTAAAAAACATTTTGAAAAAGGACTGACTTTTTGGCTTATAAACATTTATAATAACTTTGATACTTTTTATGCCACATGTTCAATGAAAAGCTGGTGAAAAAACATAAAAACACACTTTCCAATCAAAACAGAACCTTCTGTGACCAATAGGAACCAAGATATCATTTTAGATGATTTTTTAAAGATGGCATATACAGTGTAGGACTAAAATGTTATAACCCGTGAGTACTCGTAAAATATCGCCACGATAAAGTAGAGGGGAGAACTTTCCAAGCCCGTTTTTTTAGAATGAAACGTCAAATTGAATAACGCTGACAAAATTTGCAATATCTTTGGCTTCTATGACACACAGAACCTTAATTTTTTAAAACTGGGGTAGCTCAACAGAACAATAAGATATGAATTATTTTCACCCCTTGGGAAATCCTGGAAAAATAAATTTATTCAATTTTTCCATTAAAAGGTATTGAATTTTACTACTATTTCGTAAGAAATATTTAAATGTTATAATAAGTGTATATTATTTTTATATAAATATATAATAATAAGTATAAATTAAAAGATTAAATTTAGTTTCTTTATTTAATTTTATAGTTTTTTTAACAAAATGAATAATTTTATCATAATTGCATTTAATGAAGATAAGTAGCTAATAAGTATAAATAATATGTTTGTAGTTCACCCCCCCCCCCCACTTTTCCATAGCTGTCGGGTACCGCCACTTTCACGGGTTATAATATTTTACTTCTTCTCGGTATATACCATCTATAAAATGGATCATAAAATATAGATCATTGTTTATATTCTGTTTAATATTCAGCTCTTAATATTAATAAATAGTGGAAATATGATTTGATGAAAAAATGCTATGTTGTTTCCTATTGGTCATAGAAAGTTTATTTTTTATCAGCTTTTTATTGAGCCTACTTACAAACATGTGACTTAAAAATGCAAACGTTATTATAAATGTTTATAAGCTAAAAAGTCACCCCTTTTTAAACTGTTTTTTAGTAACAAATTTAATGAAATGCTGCAGTTATTTTAGTGTGTCTTAATAATGAACCCTTAAAGAATTGATTGCGATTTATAAAGTACCTTTATAGTACCTATTTGGTCAAGTATAGCTAATGGATTTTGACAAGAGCTATGACCTTGTAAATAACAGGTAAACTTGTGTACTAAATCGGCATGACTCATAGCTCTTGTCAAAATCCATTACCTTTATAGTTGTTTAAATAATCGCTCTCCAGGATAAAGAAATTAAATAATTTATTATTATTATTGAGTTAATGCCTCGACAACTAAGATCATTGGCATGGTACCGTCAGGTACCTAGTGTAGTGTGTGTGTGTGTGTGTGTGTGTGTGTGTGTGTGTAGAGTAATTGTCTTGATACTTAACAAAGTCGACGTCATTGTCTTTGCTAAGAGACGCTAATTGTATCCGAACGTCTGCGGTCCCTCCGGTGAGTACCGATCGCACAAGGATAGAAATTATTTTCATTCATTAATTTTTAATAAACGAAAATTTCTCCACCCAGATGAGATTCGAACTCACGACCTTTAGGTTTAAAGGTAGGCGCTCTTACCACTGAGCCACAGAGGGGTTTTTTTGTGTGTGTTTTGGCTTGGACAATTAAATAATTTATAATTTATAATAATTTGAAATTTAGCAGATTTCAATAACTCATTAACTGTCACAATTTGTTACAGTTATATTACATCTCATTATGCAAAAAGCAAGTTAATAACATTACTTACATTTGCAAAAATAAGGGTTTTTTGCAACTATCTTGGTAAATTGTTTATGTATTTTAAATTAGAAACTGGCAAAATAAAGACATTTTTAAGATCATACTTTTTATCTGAACTATTTTTCTCTAAATGTATAAGAAATATTTTATAGGCAAAAAATTATTTTTTCACTTTTTAATATTGTTTAAAAAAACACAGCAAAATAAGCTATACGTTTCACGGATGTTTTATCAGCTACCCCTCATATATCTTTTAAAGCCTTCACATATATTATGTATAAGATTTATACGTGAAATAAATTATTTTTTCACAGATAGACTGTTGTATACGTATATATGGAATCAAACCACAATATAGTAACGAAAATTACATTTTTAACTAATATTTGAAGTTTCGATTTCCACTCCGAAAAACGTTTTCAAAAAAACATAATTTTAATTATAAAACGCTGTATTGTTGTTAAAACGTTTCGGTCAATTGCCGTTTTTTTAAATCTGTGGTACAATATAAGCAATACAGAAAAAAGCGGGTTAATAGTTTATATATATATATATATATATATATATATATATATATATATATATATATATATAGGATGAGTTACCCCTAATGGGACGGATGATTTTAGTGAAACGGTAAAAGATTTTGAAAAATATACAGGGTGTCACAATAACGCGCGTCGTTTCAAAGTTATATTTTTTCTTATGGAACACCCTGTATTTTATTGGATTTTCTAATTGTCTGCAAAAAATAAAATATAGTTTCATAAGACGTACCTATACCTATGTACATAGTGTTCTGAGTTATGTCGAATTTTCTTAAAATGTAAAACTTTAAACGAGGACTCATTCTTAATTTATTTAAGCAATTCTAATAAAATAACTCATACATCTAAATAGCTTAATATTGGTCGAATGTATTTCATGATTAACTATTAAACATTTATTTACAGGGTGTTCAAAATTTGTAGTTTCATTATTGAATTATTCAATGTGTAATATAAGGCTTATTTTAAATAGAACACCCTGTATATTAATGAATTAATAAATTTTAAAAAATTTTCTCTTTCGAATGATATACGGATGTCCTATAACTAGGACTGATAGTTTTGCCGTAATTTAAAATTTTAATAAACGGAAATTGATTTCCAGCATTTATAATTATTGTTACTTTCGATTTTTAAACCCATCATATTGACATATTGTTATTAAACGAAACCAGTGTAGTTGTAAATACATTTTTTGTAAAAAAATTAAAATTTTTATGTCTTTGGATTTGTATTCATTGGGAATAGGATAATTAGTATTAAAATATGATGAAAAGAAAATAAAAAAATTTGTTGAAAATCTAATGTTTTTTAGATTTTCTACGATTCATCAAGTGAAAGGCAACTGCGCAAAGGTCACAGTTTTCAAAAATGATTAAGATATTAACGTTATGTTTAATTTTTTGTATTATTTACAATATAATAAGTTATTATATAACAATATTAAAATAAGTTTAATATTTCGACTTCACGTCGAACCTTTGTCGTTAACAGACGTGTTTAATAGCTAGCCTAATTACACCTAGTTTTTTGCGATATTATTTATATTCAGTTGATAAAATTGCAATAAAGTGTAGTGTTAATATAAAAATAAATTTGAACTACTTGGAAAAAAACTGTAAGTAGTATTTATTATAATATAATTAAAGATACTTATATCAAAACAAGTTCCTGCTACCGGATTTATCAACTCCACAACTTTTGGTACCTCATTACCGATTCTGTTGTGACAAACAGGACCGTCTGAAGAATAGAGGTACCAAAATATGAATAATATTTTTAAAAATGGATGAAGATTCTGTTGGTTCTGTTTCTTCTCCTAACAATAATCAACCATGTTCATATTCCAACGCTGTTACTTCATTTAAATATCCAACCAAAAACCAAGCCATTGTCCTATCTGCTCTCAATGGAATAAAAATAAATGAATACGTGATAGCAATAGGAAATATAGTAAAACCAGAAAATATATTATTTGCATCCCGCATCTCAAATAACAGAATTTGTATTTATCTCTCCAATACCGAAGTCGTCAATACATTGCTGAAGACACATACATCAATATCCATTAATGATTCAGAAGTTGAAGTAAGACGTCTAATTACTCCTGCTACAAGACTGGTCATCTCAAATGTCTGTCCCACCATACCAAACTCAGTACTTGAAGTTGAGCTGAAAAAATTAGGACTTAATACTGTATCCCAGATGACTTTTCTGCGAGTTGGAATGCCGGACACTGCCTATAACCATGTTTTAAGCTTTCGAAGACAAATTTTTATAACTCCTATTGAAAATATCACTATCCCAGATTTCATTACAATATCCTTCGACAACACCAACTATCGAATTTATCTATCCACTGACTTAAATTGCCCTAAGTGTATGTCAAAAGGTCATCGCGAAACAGACTGCCCTGTTCTATCACAATTGACATCAACTGAAACGCCCATTGAATCTCAATCTACAATATCACTTCCGTCTAAACCTCAAAATCTTACAACAGAAGCAGAAAATCCTATTAATAATACCACTAACTTTCAAATAACAACAGAAGATATTCACAACGAAACGACAAAAAATAACAATCCTATTACTTTGAACACTGATGCCTCCCATCAAAAAACAAA